AGTGCTTGATCAGCATACGTTGCAACATTGCAGAAAACTTTCTCCCTCGGGAGCCAGAGACGGGTCAACGCAAGATTAAGACCCGTGCCAGGACTCCGGTCTTGGCAAACATTATACATACGGACATCCTGTTCGTTAATGTGACTTTGTAAATGGTCCAAGTCGGACCGAAACGTTGTCGTAAGCTCCACTATTCTATGTGCGGGTTATTGGTGTATCGTTCCAGCCACGGTATTGTGCCTTTTTTGTTATTTCTAGATTCTTATTTTTTCTGTTCAAATTGCAGTGGCGAAGTTAGAGACTAACTTCGCCAGTGCAATTTGAACAGAAAAAAATAAGAATCTAAAAATATAAAAAAGGCACAATACCGTGGCTGGAACGAAACACAAATAACCCACACATAGAAGAGTGGAGCTTACGACAACGTTTCGGTCCGACTTGGACCATTTACAGTATATATAGGCAGAAGGTGGTAGTGGTAGTAGTGGAGGTAGAAGGTAGTAGTGGGGAAGGTAGTATAGTGGAGGAGGGGCCAGTCAAATAGTAAGAAAGAGGAGCACTGCAAGGGAGCTGGTGCCCACAGAGGGTAAGAGCAAGAACACACAGGGATGGGGGTAAGACAACTCAGAAGAAAGACAACTCAAGGGAGATAAAGAAAAGAAGAAAGGGGAAGAGGGAGAAGAAGAAAAATGAATCAGGTAAGTCACGGGTGTTCTGAAGTTTGGAGCATTTTACAATGAAGTGGGAGAGGAAGGCATCTACAGAGACGAAGCCAGGACTAGGATTCATACAAGGAAAGTTGTGTATAAGGGAGGATGCAACCAGACGGCGACTGTTAAAGTTGGAAGTAGGGAAGACAGTTTTAGCAGAAGACAAGCCAATAGGATGGCTGTGATCTCTGACGTGACAGAAAAGAGCATTGTTAGTGTCAGCAAGCCTAACACTACTTTTGTGCTCCCTAAGTCTGTAAGAAAGAGATCGGCCAGTTTCCCCAAACTACTGAAGAGAACAGGAGGAACAAGAAATAGAGTAGACACCAGGAGTAGCTATAGAGGGAAGAGAGGTATGAACGAGATTAGTGCGAAGAGTGTTAGTCTGGCGGAAAGTAAGTTTGATGTCTAAGGAACGGAGAGAGTTGTTGAGATTAGAAAGACCGGAAATGTAGGGAAGGCAGAGGACAGAGGAGTTCCCAGGAGTAGAGTTTGGGAGAGAAGAAATTACGTTTAGCACGTGAGAGGGCAGAGTCTATGACATGAAAAGGGTAGCCAAGACAGGAAAATGAATTATGAAGGGTGAAAATTTCGCACAGAGAAAGAGGGAGATAAGAACACTCTTCTTGACAGAAGAAACATGATAAGAAAAGTAGTGAATGTACATGCCACTGTGCATAGGTTTCGGTAAACGGAAAAGTAAAAACCTGTATCTGAGCGGTGGACATGAACATCAAGAAAAAGAAGCAAGGAATTAGATTCCCATTCAGCTTTAAACTTAATGGAAGGGGCAAGATTATTAAGAGCATCAAGAAAAGGTTGGAAGAGACTGGAGTCATGAGGCCACAGAGCAAAGATGTCATCAACATAGCGGAGCCAGAGTGAAGGTCGCACATCGATAGTAGGAAGAAGAACAGTCTCGAAGTATTCCATGTAAAGATTAGCAAGGACAAGAGAGAGAGGAGAGCCCATAGCCACACCGAAGGTTTGAGAATAATATTTCCCTTGGAAGGAAAAGGAATTAGAGTCCACACAGAGGCAGATAAGATCAAGAAAAACATCAGTAGGTATAGGGAGATGAAGTAACTCATCACTGGCCTTCTCTCTAAGAAAATCAAGGACATTATCAAGAGTAACATTGGTGAAGAGGGACTCAACATCAAGACTAAGCATCTTACAGGTCGGGAGAGAGCGAACCCGTTCAATGAAGTCTTGAGAGTGACGGAGGTGGGAAGGAGAAAAAGTACCAAGAAAGGAAGTGAGGATTTTGGCCAGCCAAGAAGCAAGTGAATATGAGACAGAACCTCTAGAGGGTATAATAGGACGTAGAGGAATATCAGGTTTATGAGTTTCGGGAAGACCATAGAAATATGGCAGAGATGGACAAATGGCACGATAACGTTGAACAAGGTCGAAGTCAGGTTTACGTCGTCGTAAGCTCCTCCCTTCTATGTGCGTGTTATTTGTGTAAGAATCTAGAAAGACAGGGAGAGATTAATGACGTGGAAGAGATAGATAACGCTAAAAATTGATTACTATTAAGAAACGAATGAGAATAATGAGAGAAATCATCAATGAAAATGAGAAAGATGAGAAGGTAATAGAAGACCGAGATCTAAAAGGCGAGGAAGGATGAGAAAAAATAGGAAGGAAAATGAGAGAGAGAGGAAGGGAAGTGGAAAAGTGAGAGAGACGAACAGAAAAAATGGCAGAAAAGATAGTGGGAGAGAGAGAGAGAGAGAGAGCAAGGGATAGAGAGAAAGAGGAAAGTGAGCTGAAGAAAGAGAGCTTCACTCTTAATGTCAGCAAAAATTGAACTTAAGGAGCAGTGCCGAATTTCTCGTTGTGGATACAAGAAGGTACCAACCTACCCACGTACCAACCTACCCACGTACCAACCTACCCACCTACCAACCTACCCACGTACCAACCTACCCATGTACCATCCGACCTACGTACCAACCTACCCACTAACCCTCCTACCCACGTACCAACCTACCCTCGTACCATCCTACCTACGTACCAACCTACCCACGTACGATCCTACCCACGTACCAACTTACCCATGAACCAACGTACCCACGTACCAACCTACCCACCTACCAACCTACCCACGTACCAACCTACCCACGTACCAACCTACCCACGTAAAAACACGAAAATTCTCGCCTTAATACGTCTGAAAAGTGCACACACACACACACACACACACACACACACACACACACACACACACACACACACACACACACACACACACACACACACACACACACACACACATACACACACACACACACACACACACACACACATACACACACACACACACACACACACACACACACACACACACACACACACACATACACATACACACACACACACACACACACACACACACACATACCTTAGTAAGGAATCGTTCAAGACACTGTACACCGTGTATGTCAGGCCCATACTGGAGTATGCAGCACCTGTTTGGAACCCGCACTTGATAAAGCACGTCAAGAAACTAGAGAAAGTACAAAGGTTTGCCACAAGGTTAGTTCCAGAGCTAAGGGGAATGTCCTATGAAGAAAGAGTAAGGGAAATCGGCCTGACGACACTGGAGGACAGGAGGGTCAGGGGAGACATGATAACGACATATAAAATACTGCGTGGAATAGATAAGGTGGACAAAGACAGGATGTTCCAGGGAGGGGACACAGAAACAAGAGGCCACAATTGGAAGTTGAAGACACAAATGAGTCAGAGAGATATTAGGAAGTATTTCTTTAGTCATAGAGTTGTAAGGCAGTGGAATAGCCTAGAAAATGACGTAGTGGAGGCAGGAACCATACACAGTTTTAAGACGAGGTTTGATAAAGCTCATGGAGCGGGGAGAGAGAGGGCCCAGTAGCAACCGGTGAAGAGGCGGGGCCAGGAGCTAAGACTCGACCCCTGCAACCACAAATAGGTGAGTACAAACAAATAGGTGAGTACACATACACATGCACACACACACACACACACACACACACACACCACACACACACACACACACACATACACACACACACACACACACACATACACACACCCACACTCACACACACACACACACCACACACAACACACACACCACACACACACACACACACACACACATACACACACACACACACACACACACACACACACACACACACACACACACACACACACACACACACACACACACACACACACACACGCACACACACACACACACACACACACACACACACACACACACACACACACACACACACACACACACACACACACACACACACACACATACACACACTATTTGTGCTCGTGAAGCCAATAACGAGCCTCCACAATATTCACTAACAACCTAATTACCCGTGTGAGGCGAGAGACAGGTGGCGGTGGGCGAGACGTTTTAATTCCTGCCGAGCGTGGAGCGAGACGTTGCAATACCCACCTTGAGAGAAAATACAGCATCGCCTCTGCAACTTTCTCAATCTTCGATTCACCTCAAAGACGCTGTATATAATCCCGTGACAGGATGAAGTTTCTCCCTTTCCGGCCAGATGGGCACTGCTGAAGATGTATCGTAGGCACTGTGCCACGCCACTGCCTCTCTTGAAGTGTTCTGGATGTCTTGCGGGTCTAACTCCCTGGAATTCTTCTGGCTTTCTTGCAGTTTTTATTTTGTTGTGATGCTCTGTGTAATTCGCTTTGGCATTTCGCTGTTGCCTTGGAACGTCTTTTTCTTTAATATTCTTTAGAGTTCCAGTGTGTGACGTTTCTGTGTGTGTGAAGTTCCAGTGTGTGTGAAGTTCCAGTGTGTGTGAAGTTCCAGAAGTAGATGTATATCGTTGTCAACCGTTGCTTAGTTCCACGAACAGCCAGGTAGTTCTAACAACCGTCAGTCAGTACCACCAGCTTCCATATATTTCCAGCATCCACCATTCAGTACCACTACCACCACCAGCTACCATATAGTTTGATCATCGACCATCAAGCACCATGACTAATCATTTCCCCCCCCCCCAGAAAGGCTACACATTTCTACTTTTGCAACCATTAGTAAATTTGTACACAAGCTCTTCATCATCAACTTTTCAGTTATTTCAAATAATAACATTTCCCTGTTTTTTAAATTAGATACGGAAAGATCATCATTATTTATAGAATTAGGCACTTTTAGTCTAATTCATCTATCAAAAAATTCTTAATCATAGCGAAAACACTGAAATTTCATAAAAATTCTGAAATAGCAACGCCGTCAGCACCCACCTCGAAGTGTATGTAGTCCATGGGTATAAACTTCTTCAGTGTGAGTGTAGTGGTCGAGGTTTCGCTGAAGTAAACGTTGAAGCCTCGTCCGTCGCCACACCAGTAGCCATCAGTGTAAGGTCTCTCCCTCTCACTGATTTGCATCCAACCCTGAGGACACCCGCTGTTGTAGCTGAAGAAGTCGCCCAACCTGAAGGAGAGACAGAAGGGGAAAGTTGTTAGGCCACTTTTAGACGAAGTTGGTTCATATGTGTGAGGAGGTTTTCCAGGCTGAAGGAGACGCTGAAGAGAAAGTTGAGAGGTCAGTTTTAGACGAAGTTGGTTTATATAAGTCAGGAAGTCAACCAACCTGAAGCAGACGAAGAAGGGAAAGTTGGGAGGTCGCTTTTAGACGAGGTTAGTTAATAAGTCAGGAAGTTGTCTAGGCTGAAGGAGATGCAGAAGAGAAATCGAAGTTAGTTTAAAATTAAATTAAGTTACCTGCTAAAATAACATTTGGATTTCACCATATTATGAGAGTACTTGAGGACCAGAAAACTCAGACTCTGTTAGTAATTCACTATAGTCAAGATTTGATGTGTTAGCTGTCAGTAGCTATCTAGATCATAACGGTCCGATCTCATACCAGAACATCAAAACCTGAAAGGACATGTTAGAAATAAATTAAAATAAAAACACATTACCAATTACACATAGGCTGTAAGTAGAAATATGTGGGATTTACTAATCGTCTTCCATATTTATGAAACAGAAAAGTCTGGTAACCCTACCAGAGTGAAAAAAAAACGTTTAACAGACTGTATAACATTCATGTACAACTTTTCAGACAGAGCAGCACTACGGAATGGAATGTTGGTTCAGAGGTCATCTCCATAACCTTCTTGCCTGTTTCTAGCCCATCCCTCGGGTATGACCTTCTTCCACTTGAGAATTCTACCTACCAATGACAATTCTGTCGTCTGCTACACGTCCCTCATCTAATGTAAGTATATAGGTGGCAGTTTTCATGCCTGTGCTCCAGATTCTTCCAGACTACGGTACTCATCACCAACCCCAAGGCTGAGGGACTGATTATCTCATCTTTTGTATATAGTCCTACGGTCTTCACATTATGTCCTTTATTTGTAATGATAAAACCACTGGATGGCGAAACGTCTACAAATAAAGGTACATACATGTTGCACATGTGGGTATCCTTACCCACTCTTGGATGGTAATAATTGGATCATGAGGCATTCACCAGCATCAAGGCAGTGAGAACGACTTGATGTCCCTCCTCGAAAATTGTTTTTGAAAACTAGATGAAACGGAAGAGGGTCTCAAATTTTTTTCCCCTCAAAACTGAGATAAGACAGAAGAGGCAGTTGTCAGCTCTCGCGACCTCTTAAGCCCCTCCTCCAGTCTGAGACGCGAGAGTAATTACGTCGCAAAGGGAGAGCGAGGGTTTGTTATGTCAAGACGTTAAAAGACCTTGTACCTTAACTGGGAAAGGTCTTCGAAGGGAAGGGGAGGAGGAGAGAAGAAAACGGATTCCCGGAACTTCAAGGAAAGTTTGTAAACAAACTGTCTAAAGACTTCAAGAAGAATCCGTAAATAATCTAAAGACTTCAAGAAGAATCCGTAAATAATCTAAAGACTTCAAGAAGAATTCGTAAACAATCTTAAGATTTAAAGAAGAATTTGAAAATAATCTTAAGATTTAAAGAAGAATCCGTAAATAATCTAAAGACTTCAAGAAGAATTCGTAAATAATCTAAAGACTTCAAGAAGAATCCGTAAATAATCTAAAGACTTCAAGAAGAATCCGTAAATAATCTAAAGACTTCAAGAAGAATTCGTAAACAATCTTAAGATTTAAAGAAGAATTTGAAAATAATCTTAAGATTTAAAGAAGAATCCGTAAATAATCTAAAGACTTCAAGAAGAATTCGCAAACAAAATGTCTACAAGCAACATGTCAAACATGACAGGGAAGAAAATGCGTGAATCAAAAGCTGAGTTAGTCTCAACGAAAAGAATTCGGATTACGTTACGAACGAAATCTTTAAAAATAACCCACGAGTTCGTTAACACTGTTCGAACTCCTCTAAGCTAACGCAAAAGGTAGTTAAAATTATTATTCGAGAAGGTTAAATCTAACGTACGACATAATTAAGAGTAACGCACGTATTCATTAAAACTAAATCTTGATTTCGTTAAAATTAATTTTTTTTTACTAATCTTCTCTCTGAGAAATATTGAGTGTCTTTCACATTCTGAGTCTGAGAGATAAAAGGCCGGTTTAAACACTCGTAAATGTCCAAGCAGTTAAGAGCAATTAATCTAAAAGGTTACTGAAGTTATTTTGAAGCTCTGGATGATTCTTAGATGATTTTAGGCGGATATTTTGACCGGTGGGGCTCAAAGATGCCGCTGCTGCCGCTGCTGTCGCTGCTGTCGCTGCTGCCGCTGCTGCCGCTGCTGCCGCTGCTGTCGCTGCTGCCGCTGCTGCCGCTGCTGCCGCTGCTGCCGCTGCTGTCGCTGCTGTCGCTGCTGCCGCTGCTGCCGCTGCTGCCGCTGCTGCCGCTGCTGCCGCTGCTGCCGCTGCTGCCGCTGCTGCCGCTGCTGCTGCTGCACCTCCACCAGGTTATTCCACTTCCTGACAACACTGAAGCTGAAGAAATGCTTCCTGACATCCCTTTGACTTATCTCTGTTTTTAACTTCCAACTCCTTCCCTCCTCTCCACCCTATCAGTTCTTCCAAGTATTTTGTATGTTGTTATCATGTCTCCCCTGATTTTTCTTTTCTCTTGAACCTCTTTTTATAACACACAGTCCTTAGCTTCGAGACTAGTCTCGTTATATACCTTTGCACTTTTCCGGCTTTTTAATACACTTTTCAGATGAGGATGCCATGCTGTGTGTGTACTCACCTAGTTTTGGTTCCAAGGGTCGATTCACAGCTCCTGGCCCCGCCTTTTTGCTGGCAGTGTCACTCTTCATGCTCCATGAGCTTTATCATACCTCTTCTTAAAGCTATGTAAGGATCCTTCCTCCACTACATCTCTTCCGAGACTATTCCACTTCCTGACAACTCTGTGACTGAAGAAATACTTCCTAACATCCCTGTGTTTCAACTTCCATCTGTGACCCTTCGCTGCTGTGACCCATCTCTGGAACATCCTGTCTCTGTCCACCTTGTGTGTGTGTGTGTGTGTGTGTGTGTGTGTGTGTGTGTGTGTGTGTGTGTGTGTGTGTGTGTGTGGTGTGTGTGTGTTGTTGCGTGTATGTGTGTATGTGTGTGTGTGTGTGTGTGCGTGTGTGTGTCTGTGTGCGTGCGTGTGTGTGTGTGTGTGTGTGTGTGTGTGTGTGCGCGTGTGTGCCCACGTGTACTGTATGTATGCATATATATGTATGCACTTGTCTATGTGCAGTCATCCATTTTTAGTTGCAGGGATCTAGTCTCAGCTCCTGGGCCCCGCCTCTCCGCTGGCCGCTATCCTGGCTTCACTCTCTCCCGGCTGCGTGAACCCTGTCATACCTATTCTTCAAACTATGTATGGATCCCGCCTCTACCTTGGTCGTTCCACTTCCTGACCAACCTGTATGTATTTATTTGTGCACATGCACGAACACGTGTGTAAGTATAGCTTTACGCATACAAAATATAATGTATACACAAGGTAATGTACGCACAAAATAATGTATACACTGGATAATGTATACACATGGTAATGTATACACAAGAAAATATCGCCTTAACAAAAAATTAAAATATAAGAAAAAAAATATCTCAGTACAAAGAAATTATGCAAATTTTCGATTTGCTGTTAAGAACATAAGAAAGAAGTAGCACTGCAGCAGGCCTACTGACCCATGCGGAGCAGGTCCGTGTCCCCCCCCCCCGGATTAGCCCAATGAAACCCCCCCGGATTAGCCCAATGACCCATCCAGTCTGGTCACCTCCACTCAAGGAAGGAGCACGGCACCAGACCCAGCAGCACAAGCTAGTCAGGTCCAACTCACACCCACCCACACCCACTCATGTATTTATCTAACCTATTTTTAAAACTACACAACGTTTTAGCCTCTATAACTGTACTCGGGAGTTTGTTCCACTCATCCACAACTCTATTACCAAACCAGTGCTTTCCTATATCCTTCCTGAATCTGAATTTTTCCAACTTGAAACCATTGCTGCGAGTCCTGTCTTGGCTGGAAATTTTCAGCGCGCTATTTACATCCCCTTTATTTATTCCTGTTTTCCATTTATACACCTCGATCATATCCCCCCTAATTCTACGCCTTTCGAGAGAGTGCAGATTCAGGGCCCTTAGTCTATCCTCATAGGGAAGATTTCTGATACATGGGATCATCTTTGTCATCCTCCTCTGTACGTTTTCCAGAGCATTTATATCCATTCTGTAATACTGTGACCAGAACTGAGCAGCATAGTCTAAATGAGGCCTAACCAAGGATATATAGAGTTGAAGAACAACCTGAGGACTTCTATTATTTATACTTCTAGATATGAAGCCAAGAATTCTCTTAGCTTTACTGCGAACACTAATGCACTGTTGTCTTGGTTTTAGATTACTACTAACCAGAACTCCTAAATCCTTTTCGCAATCAGTAGTATTAAGATCTACATTATTTAGTTTATATGTCGCATGGTTATTTTCCTGTCCAACATTTAGAACTTTGCATTTGTCAATATTAAACTGCATCTGCCATTTCTCCGACCATTGCATCAGTCTATTCAAATCATCCTGGAGTGCTCTAGTGTCCTCATTAGAATGAATTGGACGGCCTATTTTGGTATCATCAGCAAATTTGCTTATGTCGCTATTTATTCCCTCATCTACGTCGTTTATGTAAATTGTGAATAACAACGGGCCCAACACTGACCCCTGAGGAACACCGCTTGTGACGTGCCCCCATTCTGATTTCTCCCCATTTATGCAAACTTTCTGCTGCCTATTTGTCAGTCATGCCCCTACCCAGGAAAAAAATTCTCCTCCTATTCCGTGTGCCTTAAGTTTCCTCAATAGCCTCGGGTGTGGAACTCTATCGAAAGCCTTACTGAAGTCCATATACACAATATCATATTCATTACCATGATCTACCTCCTCAAACACCTTAGTGAAAAAAGTTAGTAAATTCGTAAGACAGGAACGCCCCTTCGTAAAACCTTGTTGAGATTCATTAATC